AACGACACATCCTTCCTGGTAAGATAGGTCAAACATCTGCTCCACCTGCCGCTGCTGCTGGGCGCGGAGGAATGGTTCGCATTTGTAATGCTGGCGTTGATGTTACGATTGTTGCTCTCTACTTTCCCCCTCCCGCTGTTGGCAGGGCATACGGTGCCTGGAAGAAGACCGTGGACATGTTACTGGCCTGGCCGAGCGATGAATTTACTGCGTTACCATATCGGTCCACCCCTTTTACTGTTTACTGATCTCAGCGATTCTTTTAGTGCTGACAATGCCTCTGAGTATTCTGCCATTGGACCATTCACGCAACATCGAATGGGATATGCTGGACGAGCGTTTCGAGAAGTACTACAGAGGCATCACGTGTGCTGTCCTGACACGTTCGTGCGGACCACGCCGTCACATTATGGACTCAAGAATTCGGTGTCGTGGATCGACCATTTTGCTATGCCTGCTGGGCTGCGCCGTCGTATGACCAAGTGTCTAACCATGACGAGATTGGCACGGCAGCTCCAACTATATCCTGGCAGTGGTTTTCTTATTGACCATGCTCCGATGCTATTGCAGGTGGGGCTGTCCCTACCATCGGTGTCGCCGCGGCGGGCTGTGTGCTGGAACAAAGATCTGCTTGCCCTTGCCGTGCAGACACCAGGATTTCGTGAAGAGTTCCTTGCCGAGGCTGCTCTCCAGTTGCGACGTTCAGAAGCCACCATCCTTGGCTACTTGGAGGCTCCGATGATTGAGAATGGATACCGTGAACTATGCAAAGTATTGTTCCCCACTGCTGAGAAATCTTGCCAGATCACAACCAGCACCGGATGAGCACACGACGCAACTACACAGAGACGTACGACAGCTCATCAATCTACGTGGCCGACTTCGACAGCAGAGCCTCCTGCACCAACATCATGACAGCCAAATTCGGGACCTCTCTGCTCGACTTAAAGGACGTGTACGAAAATGGCGACGGCTACTACATTCTACTTGGACTGAGGAGCTGGCGGAGGCGTGGAAGAAACGACAATTGGCCACTGTTCAATATCTATATAGACGGTTGGCAGGCACTGGACTGGGACCCAAGCGCCGCACGTACAACGCTGTGAGGAAAAAAGCCCCATGCGTGCAGGATCTTAAAGACATGCTTTCTCTCCCTGGTGCGCGCGGGGGCCTTGGGGCTATTGCAATTGACCCTACTGAATTGGAGACTCGACGTGATACTATGCCTCTCATTGGGACTTTCTGATCGAGACACGTGTCAGGAAACTGGAGCCCGTGATCGTGAACGGGCGATTGTTGTACTTAAGAAGGCATCCCGCGGACGAGCTGTCCCTCGCTGGAGTCTACCTAGCGACATTTGGTTCATGTTGCTGGCACCCAACTACTTTAGCAAGAAGAAGATATCTACTGCTTGTCTGGGCGCCAAACCTACCCTTCCTGACGCGACGGCTATCTGGTCAATGTTTTCAGCTCTGGCGACAGCTTGGAGACTCTCCGGTCGTTTCCCCGCTTGTGCAGGCTATTCCAACGCATGGCAAACCCCCAAGCATGACGGGGGAGCCCGCTACCTTCATGGACTTTGCCCGCTGTTTCGCGCTGTTTGCATGGGTATCTACAAGAGTGCCCCCTTTTCCTTACCCTCTAGTACTGATCCAGGCTGTGTGCCACATCGACGACGTGAAAATGCGATCTTGGCCGTGCGTGTTACTGCCTGGCGTCTCCGACGAGAACGTAAGTATCATATTGCAGCATTGGACGATGTGGCGAACGCATACGGCTGCTGCTCGCGCGAACGACTGGATGAAGTGCTACATGAGTATTTACCATATGCTGACGCGAATTTACTGCAGGATCGTCGATGCACGCACGTACTTCACATTGAGGCTGTGGATGGTGACATTCAGTTATTACTTACCACGGGGGCGCTGATGGGGGAAACTTCGGTGCCTGATGAATTCCGCGTGGATTTTCAAAAGCCAATCAATGTGTGGCGCCATCGGTCCCCACAGCCTCAATTACTGGTCAGGTGCCCTCTTGTACCTGACCCTGTTGATGCATCTCTGTCGAAGTACGTTGACGACCTGCATGGGGCGTTTGCACGAATCGATCGAAGCTGTGGCTGAAGAACAAATGCTGACGGATGAGATCTTGTCTGAGTATGGCTACAAGCAGAATCTGAAGAAGCAGGTCTTGGCGCCCTGGTTGAAGGGGTATCACGATAATCGGCTGTTTTACCCTTCCCCTGTGGGAGGCGCCCGCGTCCTCTCACATGCTCGCTACTTGGGCCCACTGTCCATGCCTGCCGGCGCGCTTGGACCGCAGATCGTGATCGCCAACAATGCAGCGGCAAGGGGCTGGTGTGCGTACAAGGACTTTTGGGGCAGTGGGGCTCCCTGGAAGGTGAAACGATTGATTTTTGTCAGCGTGGTCAAAGGAGCCCTTTTCTCTGGCCTGGCCCCGTTTATGTTGTCTACCGCTCAGCGACGCGAACTTGACTCTTGCCTGCTTCGAAAGATTCGGTCGATCGCTCGTGGTGCAGCCTGCGAATGGAAAGGCCCCCATCCTGTCTCCTGGAGCTCTCGACGATTGTGGTTATGGTTCGGTCTCATCCCGACGCGATGCGAATTACTGATACAGCGGCTTCGATGGCACCAAGCGATGCTCCGATTCCCCGAGGACCACACGCAGGTGACTGCGATTCTATTCGGTCGATTTGAATTTGAAAAGTATGACGCGATGAACGACGGCATCCTCACGAATGACGCGAACCCTTTTGCCAATCGGGTTGTGTGTGACGTGGCGTGCTAGTCGATACTTACTGATATGGAGGACTGGATGGGTATCTTGGGGAGGTTTCTGACTAGACTCTTCGAGGACGATTATGTCAAACACAGATTTCTTAATGTGGATGTTAGTGCATTTCGGAAATTATACCAACTGGGGGCCATGGGACCTGACGTTGACCTTGGTGGGTTCCCTGACGAGGAGGAGGAGGGCTGGGGCATGGCTGAGCTACGTTACACATGCACCTGCCTGAATGAAGATGGCACGCTATGTAGCGCGGCATTCAGATCACGCAAAGCACTCACGATGCACAACACGTTCACGAAGGGCGGCACGCACGGCAAGACGTCGACCATTCTTAAGTATGTCATTACCAACCAATGCCCGTGCTGCATGCAAGCGTTTGCGTTTCGGAGATCGGCCAAGTCTCACGTGCAGGCCGCCTTTCGCACGGGTGCTTGTGGCGTGAGTTCGGCCCATGCCATATATCCTGTCGTGAGTGCGCCGCTGAAGTGCCCTGTTTGTGGCGATGCGTCGTGCGAGAATTTGGCCCAGCTTCAGTTTCGTACTCGTGATTGTCACTTGCCCCCCTCCACCGCGCCCTCGTGATGACGTCGATGGAGCCTGCCTGGGCGCTCAAGGGGACAGATGGAGGTGCCGCTTCCGAGGCTCCCCCGCAGCAGAAGGCGAAAGGCGCTCCTCCCTCGCAAGGCTCTGCAGGCTCAGGCAGTCAGGGCGCAGCTGGACCGCCCCCCCACTGGCGGGGGGGGCAAGCTAAAAAAGCCACGCAAGGATCGGAACAGAGGTCTCGGCCCGCTAGCCGACACAGGATTCAACAAGAAGCAGCAGAACGCGGTGTCCGCCCTCATCAAACAAGTGCCCATGACAACCCAGATGATGCGGGACTTGTAGACCCTCGGCATCGACACGTGGTTCATCGACACGACCTTGCCCGAGATAGAAGCCTCCCGCGTCGAGGGCCAGAACTGCAGCCAGAACGTTCGCGATGCGGGTCGGGGCCACCAGGTGTGCCCTCCTCACCTGCATATATTTCGTGGGTTCGTCAGCAAGCTACTAGAGCGCACGAACAGTCTGGGGGCAAAAACCTACGAGGAGCTGATCCTGTGGTACACGGAATGGTTTTGCAAAGCGTCGCTGGAGGAGGCCTGGGATCAGGTGCGTCTGTTCCGCATCGCCAAGTGCTACGACCAGAACAAAAAGAAGATGCATCTCAGCCTCCAGAACGTAGACCAAACGGAGCAGATGCCGATCCAGATGGGCGGCCCCGACGCGCGCTCAGTACCTTCGGGCGCGCGTTTGCGCCACCTGTTCGCCAGGTCCCTGCAAGAGGTGGGCGGTCGGCGCGCGGTCGGGGCCGCTCCTCCAGGGGCAAAGGAAGAAATGATGCAGCATAGTCTACCTGAGTGACTACTTATCCAGTTACCCTGTCGCTCACCTCCTGCCTTGGCGTGGGCCTGGCGTGGAGGCAGAGGGTACCAGCTCGGGTGACGCTTGCAGACTTTGGAGGCAGAGGGTACCAGCTGGCCGGACCGTGCTGCTGGATGTGGTGGAGTTACATATCGACCTGAATTGAATGGTACGGCCTGGCTCTCTACTGAATGGCTTGGGCGCAGTGCATTGAAGTTCATGCACTACTTTTCTGATGGAGGAGCCACGTAATATTCGCTCGCCTCGCCATGTGCAACTACGCGTGCTACCTCCTCCACGCGCGCCGCCGTCTCCACCACCTTCCTGGTCGTGGTGCCGCACGTGTGCCCTCTGCTCCTCGCCCTCCCTGTTCGTGTCCTACGTGTATGTGTGCCTGGGCCCGTTCCAGGCTTGAGGCGCTGCCACCGCTGCCGCGTTGCCGCCGTGCCGCCTGCTCGTTACAGTCAGTGGTATTTATATCCGTGTAGTGCGTCGTACCCCGACCTGTCGGTGCGACGGTTCCCCAGGGTTTGTATTAAGCCTGTTGGGGCCTGTCTAGGCCCTTTCGCTTTTTCCTGGCTTAAACCCAGCTTCGGCTGGCAGCCGTGCGAGTATGATATTGTTTTTCGCTGTCCCTGTCCATATGCATTCTGAGAGTGCTTACGTTTTAGTTTTTGTCGAGGGCCTATCTTGGCCTTCCCGCCTCGGATTTGTGGGAAACCAGACACACGGCGCGCCTCTATGCCGCATTATTATTATCCCCTCGCTCGCCGCCGCTTCCCGCTGAGGAGCAGAAGACCGAGGAGAAGAAGGACGACGGAGGCGGCGGCAGGCGCCCAGCGCGGCGGCGCGGCGTCGCGCGCCCCCCCCTTGTCCTCGCCGCGCGGTTGCCGACGCCGTCGTCGTCGTCGTAACGAACACGAAGAGCGAGAGCGCGGGGAGGAGGGAGGGGGGGGGAGGAGGGAGGAGGAGGAGGAGGCGGAGGAGGAGGTGGGAGGAAGAGAAGGAAGGTGGAGGAGGAGCAGGAGGAAGAGGATGACGAGGAGGAGGAGGAGGAGGAGGAGGAGGACTAGGAGGAGGAGGAGGATGACGAGGAGGAGGAGGAGGAGGAGGAGGAGGAGGAGGAGGAGGAGGAGGAGGAGGAGGGTGGAGGAGGAGCAGGAGCAGGAGGAGGAGGAGAAGAAGGCAGAGGAGGAGGAGGACGGGGGGGAGGGGAAGGAGAGTTGGAGCCAGCTGGGGGGCTGAGGCGCATGGCCCAGCACTAGGTAATGCCAGCAGGAGGGCCTGGGGGGGCAAGTTCGAGACGCTGGGTTCAGGAAGTTTTTGTTCCTCTTTCGGTTTCTGGTTGCCGTTCTCGGGCCCCGAGACTGTCAAACATTGATTCGTGCATTTTTTGTTGACTGGATTTACCCTTGTCCCACAGTTTGGGCTGATTTTCTGGGGGCCCAGGGCTGCCGATTCGAACCGATTCGATCCAGAGATTCTGATTGCGAAGGCCTTACGGCCGATGCCGCCGACCCTGAAGGGGGACGATGAACGTCGACGACGACGACGACGACGACGACGGCGACGGCGACGACGATCGCGAGTCCTTGTTGGGGCCTTCCCGGGCCCTCTTGGGCTGTCCTGGGGGGCCTTTGGGCCGTCTTGGGGCCTTCCCGGGCCATCCTGGCGTGTACTTGGGCCGTTTTGGGGAGCTCTCGGAGGCAACTGGGGCCGACGTGGAGTGTGTGAAGCCTGGAAGTCGAGCAGGCGAAAAAACATTGGCGATCTCGGGACCTCCTGGTAGCCTCTTGGGGTGGGGAGCTTGAAATGTGGGTTGGTTTTCCCTCTCTTCGGCCTCTCTTGGGGTGTTCCTGAGGTTCTCTTGGGCGTTCTCGGTCGGAGAAGGGGGAGGGGGGGGCACGAGTCGCAAGACGCTTCAAGGGCCCCCGCGGGATCTTTTCTTCCCTCTCACCCTCCCCCGGGACCTCTCCTCTCTCGTGGGGAAGGGATTACAGGAACGGGGTCCCCTTCGAGTCGATTACGCTGTTGTTCGATTTTCCTCTGGCTGGAGCGTTTGAGGAGGTGGGCCGAGGGAAGAGGGGGGGTAGTTCTGGGAGGCTCATGCAGGTTTCAGGGTGGTGCGGGGGAAAAAACGACGAAGAGCGAGGGGGAAACAGAGAAGGAGGAGGATGAGGAGGAGGAGACAGAGGAGGAAGAGGAGGAGGATCGAGGATCGGGGTTCGAGTCGATGTTTCATTTTTCATGGTCTTTTTAGGGGGGGCTCTCTGGAAACTTCCGAGGATTTCTGGGGACGTCCTGGAGGCGTCTTGGGCCGTCTTGGGGCCCTATTGGGCCGTTAGGGGACGCTTTTGGGCGCCTCTTGTGGTGTCTCGGGGCGATCTTGGGGGCCTGGGCCGTCTTGGCGCGTTGGCCAACGTCAGAGGCAAGAGCGCTAGAATCCTGCAAAAACGTTAGGAAAATCTACGATGTTTGCCTCTTGGGGCTCTCGTGGGAAAGCTCCTGGATGCCTCTTGGGGCGTCTTGCAGGCCTCTTGGGCCGTCTGGAAGCCGTGAAGGCGTCTTGGACAGATCGTCAGGCGAGTCGGAGTTCTCGTGGACTGTCCGTGGGGCATATTCGACCACACTTGGCCCTTTTTGGAACTCTTTTGAGCTCCGGGAATCCCCAGGAGAGCGTCGTATCTGACCCCCCCCCCGGGGACCCCCCCCGGGACCCCCCCCAGGACCCCCCCCCCTACCTTCCCCCCCCATTGCGGGGGAGGGATCGAAAGGAAGGGGTTCCCCTTCGACTCCATTACGGCGTTCCTTAACGCCTGGGAAAGGAGGGGAAGAGGACGACAGCCACGACGACAAACGAATGACGGGCTGAGGCGGTCCCTGGCAAAGGGGGGGAAGAGGACGACAGAGACGACGACAAACGAATGACGGAGATGACGACTCGAACGGACGAAGCCCCTCACACACGCCGACAGGGTCGGAGGATTTGCGATTTCGATTTCGGTTTCGCCCGATCTGACTCTTGCCGATTCGATGTGACAGCCCGATTCGGCCGATGTCTTGCCATTCCGGCTTCGCTCTGGTTCTTGGATGGTTTGGACAAAGGCGCAGGAGGAGAAGGAGGAGGAGGAGGAGGAGAAGGGGGAAGAGGAGGAAGAGGAGGATGAGGAGAAGGTGGAGGAGGAGGCGGGGGAGGAGGGGAAGGTGGGGGGGGACGGGGGGGGGATTGGGGGGGACCGTGGGGGTGGGACTGTGGGGTGGGGATTGTGTGGGGAGATTGTGGGGAGGGGATTGCGGGGGGGACTCTGGGAGGGGAATGCTGGGGGGGATAGGAGGGGGCTAGGGGGGGGAACTGCGGAGGGGAGAGGGGGAATTGCGGGGGGGGGATTGCGAGAGCGGGGGGCTGGGTGGCGAGGGAGGGGTAGGGTAGGGGGGGGAGTGCGGGGGGGGAGGGCAGTAGGAGGGGAGTGCGGGGGGGCGGGGGAATGTAGGATGGGCGAATGTATGTGGGTACTGTAGGGTGGGGGATTGTGGGGGGGACCTGCGGGGGGGGGAGGCCGCATCGGGTTGGCTGCGCATGCTCCGAATTTGGAGGCAGAGTGTGTGTTTCGATTGTTGTTTTACAAGGGATGGTGGGGGGGGCCCTCATGGTTCCTGGTTGGCTACCAGTCGCCTGGGGGGAGAGGTGTTTATTAATAGCGAACAGTGATAAGCCCCTCCCCGAAGGGGAAGAGGAGTCTTGTGGAGGAGGAAAGAAAGACATCGTTAGACCACCTGCGCCCAGAGGGCTGGAGGGATTTCATTCGAAGGGCTACCCACGCCGCACCCGACCTAGCAGCACGCGCACATGTGGAGGAATGGACTACAAGATATCACAAGCGCAAATGAAGATGGGCGGGGCAAGCTGCCGCACAACCGCACCACAGTTAGGCTCGATTGGCGAAGGCATGGGAATTTGATGTCCACGACCGCCGGGCAGCACAACGCCAGCACGGCGGACAACGAAAACGGTGGAGTGACAACATCGCAGCATTCTTGTTGAAGGCAGTTGGCAGCGCACCCGGCACTTGCTTATATACTGCTGCCAATACCAAATTCTTGTGCAGACCGAGAGAGCGATTCCTTGAACTTCACACGCCTGTGACCGGGCTCCGGCCCGCCCGCGCCGCCCCGACGGGCCTGCCGGCCCGCCGGCCGGCGGACTCGCGCGTCTGCGTTCGCGTCTGCGTCTGCGCCCATCTGAGGGCCCCCGGCCGCCTCCAATGGGGGAGGACGAGGAAGAGGAGGAGGAGAGCTTAGGAGGAGGAGGAGGAGGAGGGGGAGGAGGAGGAGGAAGAGGAAGAGGAGGAGGAGGAGGAGTGGGAAGGGGAAGGGGGGGTGGAAAAGAGCCAGCTTCATTAGTTAACTATAACATGGCTTTTTTCTTATTCGTCCAGACGCTACGGTCCCAGTCGATCCGAGATTGCCTAACACCAAAAAGAAGAAGGAGGAGGAGGAGGAGGAGGGGGAGGAAAAGGAATCGGGGGGAGCCCAAAGGCTTCGGACGGCCCCACACACCGCCAGGACCAGCTGGAGACCGCCCAAGACGCCCCGCGAGCGCCCCAAGACGCGCCAGAATGGCTGCAAGAAGAGCCACGGGCCCTGCATGAACCCCCCCAAGAGAGCCCAAAGAGGTAAACATCGTCCCACTCCGTTGGGAAAGCGTCACTTTCAGCATGTACGACTTTCGGGCTCCCAAACGACAGCCAAAGAGGCCCCCCAAACCGCCACAAGAGGGCCCAAGGGGTCCCCAAGAAAGTCCGAACACGGCCCAAGAGCGCCCCAATACGACCCTAGAGCCGCACAATCCGTAGCCATTTTGGCTCAAGCTTGGCCCAAGTCTGGCGCAAGATTTGCGCTGTCCGATTTTGCCGTTGCGCAATTCTCGCCCCAAGTGCCAAAGGCGCCCCCCCCCTCTCTGGAACAGGTTACCCGACCATGCCGGAGCTCGTGTCGATCGTGAAAACTCCCAAGGAGGCCTTCATGGGTATGGTAGACAAAGGCGTGTCGATGGGCGGCGACTCGTCCATCAAGATCTTGCACCAGTCTTTCTACGCGGGTTGCTATATAGGCTTCGGGGGCATGCTGTCGATGGTGGTGGCTGGCGGCCTCGACAGCGCAGCCCAGGACAACCCTACCATCCATCCAGACATTTGTATTCGCTGCGCTTTTCCCTGTGAACCTGCTGCTCATCCTCCTCACAGGTGGGGTGCTGATCACAGGTACAGCGGCGACCGTGCCTGCCGCGGTGTTTGAAGGCAAGCTGCACCGGGTGCAGATCCTGAGGACGTTTGCGTTGGCTTGGATTGGCAATCTGCTGGGGGCCTTGCTCTTTGCTGGCTTTGTCACGGCCTGTAACTTGAATGTTGACCTTACTGCCAAGCTTGCGATCAAGGTGGCGGAGAAGAAGGTCAAGGAGAATTTTCGGATCACCTTCCTCAGAGGAATCGGCTGCAATTGGCTGGTGTGCATGGCTGTGTTTCTGCAGGGCCAGGCGCAGGACATGGTTGGCAAGATGGTGGGCATCTGGTTTCCGATCTCTTGCTTCGTGGCCATCGGCTTCGAGCATATCCCAGCCAACATGTTCATGAACCCCATGGGGATGATGGCCGGCGCCGACGTGTCAGTGCTGGATTGTCTCTGGAGGAATTTCATCCCCGTGACTCTCGGGAACATCTTCGCAGGTTCCATCTTTGTGGGCGGTGGCTACTCTTTCGCCTTCGGCCGGCTAGGCAGCTCGCCAGTTTTCAATATGCCCACGAAGTAGCAGGGTTCGCCGAAGGAGCAGCAATCCACGAGCGATGCGCGCGAGATTTCACTCCAGGCTCTGAATGCATGACTTCGCAGTTTCGCTGAGCGGCCTCAGCGTCGATGCATTATTTGTCTATTGCACCTACTACGAATTCAGAACAAATCACCCACGACGCACAATGTTTCAGATCGTGCGGCGTAATTTTTACAGTAGATATTTTGATCGTGCGTCGTACACATAACTCGACATGGAAGCTGGGCAGCCTCAGCATCCCAATCGATTCTTCAGTTGCAGCCTGAGCCTTCCGCTTTCTTCCCCCCCTGCAGCGAAGACTGTGGATCAGGGTAAACCTGGTCAAGCTGCTCCTCACGGTCATTACCGACGAATGCCAGTCATGTTGAGAATTCAACCATTTAAGCAAGCGCATTGGCCGCATGTTCGAATCATTGTGTGCCCGTACCCCCCCCCCCCAACAAAAAAAACGACCCAAGAGTCGCACAAGGCAGCCCCAAGGAGCCTTAGGAGGGGCCCATATGGCTCCAGGACGGCCTTCGACATCCCAAAATGGCCCCCAAGTTCGCCCCAAAAACGTGCAAGATGCCCTCAAGACGCCCCCCAACTGGCCCAAGGTTGTCCAACATTGCGTCTGGGGCGCCCTGGCGCCCTGGCGCCACCCGAAACGCCCCGAGACGGTCTGCAGACGCGCAACGAGGCCCCTCACCTTTTGAGAAAACGATCATTTTCAGCAGATTCGCTTATCCATTCTTGACAACTTCTTCCAGTTTCTAAGACGATCCAAAAGGCGCCCAAGGAGACTCCAAGACCGCTTACGAGGCCCCAAACACGGCCCTAGAGGGCTCCAAGACGGTCCAAGGGAACCCTCTAGAAGGCTTCAAGAGGGTGTCACAACGGGTCGCGGGGTGTTGTGTTTGGGCGTGCGGCCTCCAACATGCCCCCAATACCTTCCAGGAAGGTGCCAGAATGCTTCCAAGAAGCCCCCAGAGACCCGCGAGAGACCCCGGAAACGCCCCCGCTGATTCCCCAGGGGACCCCCAAGAGGCACCAAGATGCTCCCTAAATGCTTCTGGCCTCCTCATCCTCCGCCTCCTGTTTCACGCTTCTCCGCTGCGCATCACGGTGACAACCTCAAGGGGGTCAGGCCTGTTTCCCGAGGGGACAATGCATCCGAAATGCTTCCAGGAGGCTTCCAGGAGGCCCCCACTGGGGCACCAGAAGCGCATGAGGCCTTCAGATGCCCCCAAATCACGATCCATCTCAGGGCTTCAAGAAGCCATTGTTGGGATGTTCTCTGGGTTTGTTCGCCATGCATAGGGCTGTGTATATCCAGCCGCTCCCATGTAATGTGCGGATCTTATGCCGCGGACCAGATGGAGGGTCAAGCAGTTCGGCAAGTGGCGACGCGCCCGCTTGGCAAACTCGCTGCACTAAAATTGTGTTCCTGTGAAGCCGGCCGCAATCATACGCTACAGCGACCCAGGCTGGCCTCATCCAGCACCTCCGGCGTGCAATGGCGCGCCTGCGCCCAAACCCGTCCCTGGAGCTAGCCACGATCAAAGCGCTGATTGCGCAGCGCGCGCTTCGACTGGGCGCAGCTGGATCATTCGAGGCGCGCGGTCAACGAACGAAAACATTCGACCTACCCGCTGTGTAACGAATATGGCGCAAACTGGCCCATGGGCAACAACTTCTTCGATTTTGATATTGATCAGCAACGTCCATTGCACGGCCCCCTGGGACCCTCACTCTCTAAGCGCGCGTTTACCCGACGACCTCAGGACCATCTGCGGACAACACGCGTGTCCACATATTGTCCTGTGGGCGTACCGACCTCCGCGCGAAAATCGCGCGCCGAGACCGCCGCCTATCAGAACGCGCGAGTTCGCACCCGAGGAACCCTGACTCGGCATTAGGGTCCCCGAGGAATCTGTTCAAGTTGTCACGCAGGCCCCACACACTTTGCGTGGTGGTCGCGTTGCGATACGCCCGCTTGTGCGGCGTCGCCGCCGTTTGTCGACAGTCGCCGTCCTGGTCAACGTTTGTTCTCGTCGTCGTCGTTGTCCGTCGGTCGTCGTTCGTCGTTCGTCGCCCGCTTGTAGTCCTTGGTCGTTGGTCATTCGCCGCCGTCGTCGTTAGCTGATAGTCGCGCAGCGATAAATCTGCGGGGAAGTGCGACGCAACTCATGTTCCCACGTTTAAAAGGACGGGTGGGGGGTGGGGGCGAGGAGGGAGTTCACGCTCGGGCGCAGCCGAGGCAGGCTTTGGGCGGCTGGAACACGAGCATTCCGAGCGCGCACCAACGTATCCCACCCGCAATGATCCAGCTGGGGGGGATGCGTGCGCGCGTTTCTTTTCAACGCTCGTTTTGTTTTTTTGTTTTTCCCTCTCTCTCTATCTCTCTTTCTACCTTTATGTTGTTGCCTCCGTTGTTGTTTTTGCATTTTTTTTTGTTTTTTGTCTTTCTCTCTCTCTCTCTCTCTCTCTCCCTGGTCACCCTGGTAGTGCATGGCCGTCGTGCCCAAGTGCGGGTCCCGCTTGGAGGATGTGGTCCTTTGTGCGGACGTTTCGTCAATAAAACAAAGTCTTGGAGAGACAGCACTTCTTATCTTCTGGTAATCTCTGTACCTATCTCTCGACATGCCCATTTGTTTTGTATGTATCGAGGGAGCGTGGATTAGCGACGGGTTCCGTTTCCATGGGAAGTCGCGGATCTCCGCCGCCGAACGGGGTGGCACCGGCCGCATTGTTGGGGACGGCGCCTTCCCCGATCCATGGATGTGGCGACCGCACACCAAATCCATGGATCGATAATCCATGTTTGCGCGCCCCCGAGGTATTCGAGCTCCTTTGGGCCAAAGTATATCCATACCCACTGCCCCCCTGTGCGGGCAGTACTTCTGCCCACATCTGCAATATGGAGTTTCGGGCTCCCCCCGAAAACCCGAGGTGCACTGGACATGGATAGATTGCCCCCTGGAGGTTCAATTTCGATCCGTGTCCAGTGCGCCCCGGCCTTGGGGCGCCCGTTCAAGAAGGTCCAAGATGCACTGGATGTGGAGATAGCAAGTATTGCCCGCACCCTGGGGTCCCCATGCATCCAGGCGGTGGATCTGGATAAGCCCCCAGCTTGAACCAGTGCCACGGGCGAGCAGACGACGCGCCGAGCTCCTCGATCGCCTCGTCGAAGCCGAAGGCTTGATCCAGCGTGTAGTCTAAGGCTTGATCTGGGTCAGTCCAGCTCAATGGCTTTCCAATATTGCCTGTTAGTTGCTAGCCGTTCTTGCGAAGACCTCCCAGAAGTTGCTTCCCGCCCCACCGCCGCCCTCCGCGCGGCTCAGGCCCCCCACCCCCTTCGACCCCGGCACTGCCCTCCCGCCCCCCCCTCACCCCTCACCCCCCCCCGCCCTTTTCCCCCAACCACCCCCAAACCCTCAAAAACCCTTATGATGTTCCAACCTACTTTAGCTTTGACCACCAGAAAGAATTTCGAGCACCAACAAAGTACCGAAACTAAAGGGTTTTCACGTATCGGGCCCTGGGAGACACTCGTCCGACACTGTTTCGACACTCGTTCGACACTTTTCCCGGTGCTCGAAATTGGTTCTTGGATGTGGTCATGAAGTACGATGGGAGCAACATAAAACCACCCCGACCCCTCGACCCCTCGACGCCCTCCCCCTCGACCCTTCTCTGGCCGCCGCCGCCGCCGCCTTCCGCGCAACCCCCCGCGCGCATCCGTCAGGGGCGGCGGCCGCGCCGCGGGCGGAGACCGCGAGGGCGGCCGCGGCGGCGGCGGGGACCGCGGGGACCGCCCGGAGAGGCCGCCGAGAGGCGCGCGCGCGCACGCCCCGCGCGCCGCGCAGACGGCCGAGCGCCTTTGTGCCTGGGCGCCGTGGCGCATGTCGTGTGGCCTAAGCCCGCCGTTGCCGGAAGAGCCCCTTCGTTCATGATGTTCCCACCTACTCTAGCCTTGATCACCAGACAGACCGTCGAGCACCAAGAAGCTACCGAAGCTGAAGGGATTTCGCGTGTCGGGCCCGGGGAGGCGATACTCGTTCGACACTCTTTCGATACGTTTCTTCTGCGTGCTCGAATCTACTTCTGGGATGTGGCCCTTAAGTACGATGGGAGCAACAGAACCCCTTCGTTCCTTCCTTTTTTTTCTGCCAGTAGCACGATGACTGTAGTCTCGGCGGGCCTCAGCAGGCCCTCTGGGCTATGCTGTTCCAACCTACTCTAGCCTTGATCACCAACCCGGCGCCCCGAGGTGTTGAGACCGCCCCGGATTGCTCGGGGGGGCGGCTGAGGCCAGCCGGGGCTACCTCGGGGGGCTGTCTGTGCGTATTCCGAAGCCTCACCAATGCATGCTCCAGACCAAGCCCTTGCAAACGGGGCGTGAGTCGAAACATGAAAACGCCATAAACATAAAAACTGATGGCGCTCCGCGCGGATTTCTTGGATCCGCGCTGGGCCCCCCCAGCGGCGCCTCCGGCGCTGCCCCTGGCGCGCTCCGCGCGCCAGGGAGGGGGTCTGGCGCAGATCCAAGAAATCCGCGCAGAGCGCCAAAAGTTTATGTTGATGGTGTTTGTTCGTCTTCTACTCCAGAACAAGCCCCTGCAAACGGGGAGTTAGTAAGCGGGGCGGTAACTAAGGGGCCTCTTCAAGCGAGAATGGGGCGACAGGGCATTTGCCCCGCACTAGTGCGTGATAAGTCGGGACGACAAAAACGTCGACGCGTCATCATAACTCTGGGCGGGGGGGCACTTGCGCGCGGCAAAACAGTTGTTCCAAAAAACTATTGAAGACGCACCTTTAGCTACCGGCCAGTTTACTCGCGCCCTGTTTGCAGGGGCTTGGCCAGAGCGGCCAGGTCTCGGAGATGCCCGATTTCTCATGGTCGGATTTTGTCCTGGTCTTGGCCTCCTCCTGGATCTTAGGGCTTTGGCACGGCTTGGTGCAGGGCGGGCGCGAGGGGAGGTACCAGGGCAGGCCCAGTTGGTTCTTCGGCCTGTGCCGGGCTGAGGGAGGACTTGGGGGCGTTCGGGGACAACGATAGGGGAGATCCATGGGCCCGTCGTCCGCCCATTGTGCCGCGGCGCCTGTCTCCGGAGAGCTTCGGCGGCGGGCTCGGACCTTGTCGAGGCGAGTGCGAGGGCAAGTGCGGGGTCGATCTCGCACAGTTGCCCAACCTCGTCAGAAGGACACTATGCCAGTGGGGAGTCGGAGTGATCCTCAAGCGGGAGCGGGTAGCCGGTGAGCGAGTAGAGCCCGTTCGAGACCCAGCCTTGCGCGTCGGCAAGAGCCATTATCTTTTCTTGGAGAGGAGCATCCAGGTACTGACCGACAATTGCAGGTACACGATTGGGCCTTCTATCAGCGTCGGGTGGCACCCTCCAGACAATGTCCCTGAGGAACTCGAAGGCTCCGTGGAGTAAAATGACGTCAGCTTCGCTCACCAAAAGGCGATGGGTCGATCGACGTAGACTGGGAGTTGAGCTTGGAGAACGAAAGGGTAGAGGACCGCGAGAGCCTTAGCTTCTACCGCCGCTCAGATGACCGCGCATAGTAGGCCGCTGTCTGGCGATGGAGAGGAGCCGTGCGCGGCGGGATCAGTGTTAAGTTAGGCCTGTCCGTTTACAGGAGGTAAAATTAAGAGTTTGATTTTGCTTCGAGCGATCCCCACGGAAACCGTCGGCGTTTGGTCCCAACGATGCGCGCGCCCACTGGAAGGATGCGCGCAGTGCCCAGCGGCGTCGGCCAGCGCGGCGGCCAGGCCAGGTCGCAAGTTGATGTCTTCCGAATTCTTACAGGCCCAAGGCCCCTGACGAGGACAAAACCAAACCCAAAACGCTTCTTGCGATACCCCAAAACTTGTTTTGAGAAATGATCAACCTCCGGTAAAAGGAAGAGGAGGAACAGCAGCACCACCACGAGGAAGAGACGGACGACGAAAGACGAGGAGGAGGAGGAGGAGGAGGAAAAATGAGATGAGGCGGACTTGTCCTTCCTCCTCCGGTTCCTCCTCATCGTGCTCGTTCCTCCCCCTCATCCTCCTCCTCCTCCTCCTCCTCCGTTCCCTCCTCCTCGCCCTGTTCTTCGTCCTCTTCCCTCATCATGCGCCTCGCCCCCCCCTCCTCCCCCTCGCCCTCGTCTTCTTCGCTCCTCCGAGCATACGCGGGGCGCGCGGCGGCCCCTGGGCGGAACCC